AAATGCTACATTAGAAGAACTGGAAGAACAACTTCTTCATATTTTCGCAGCACCAAATCTAGGACCAACCACTTCAGAAGAAACTATACAGTCAGGCAACCTGCTTCTCGAAGATTTCAGTCAAAGACCCGAAGAGTAACCCGGCCCGATAGTTTCTACAGTTGATATAACCCCTAAAAAGTTGATATGACTCCACCATAAACATCGATATGACCCAACAAGCATAAAGCCATCGACTATAAAAGTTCATATGACCCTCCACAGTGAAGATGCTCCGTTTCCTTCGATGTGACTAATTTCGACTCACATCAAGGCCATACCTTTGCATACGTGGCCTCTCCTGATTCCCCGACGCCCGCACATACGACTGCCATCTCGCACAAAAGATTCGCCATCGCCATCACCATCACCAATGTACGGCCACCTCCTGCTTCCTCCATGTGTCCGCTTTCACCATCCATGTGACTCCACTCAGTTTCCTTCTCCATTACGGCATCCCTTCTCCGCCACTCAGCTTCCTTCTTCATTATGGCATCCTTCTCAGCCAATCAGCTTCCTTTGCCATTACGACATCCTTCCTCAGCCACACAGTTTCCTTCGAAACGAAGGCATCCAACTTCGTCATGTGCCTATAAAAACCTCCTCCCTTCTCCCAAAAAGAACAGACTTCGCAAGGACTACAAAGAAAGCATCTGAAGCAAGCTCAGCATATGGACTCATAGTTTCATACTTTCTCCTTTGCCTCTCTCTTCTACTTTGCTTTCTTCTATTTTTTGTAGACAGTAGGTTTATTCTCTTCAACCGTCTGTACATCAAGTCGATCACCTCTTACTACTTTAAATGTGTGATTGTAATATTTCCTCTCTACCTTCTCACTATCCCTCCGAGTGGAAACACTTTGCCAGTTTATGTATATGTAAACAGTAAGTTATGCTGTTTCTTTCTTAATCTATGATGCAGTTGAAATTTGTATACTTAAGGATTTAACATGATGTTAGGTTCCCAAAATATAGCCATTGTCTATCGCATTTATTACAAAGTAATGAATACGTTATGTCCTAATGTACTTCAAGTAGACACCCGAGGACAAACTATATTTTTCCAAACCAATATAGAAAAATCCAATACCATCATACCAAAAACAATATCCTGGTCAGACATTATCTTACCAGAATCATGGTCTATTCATAATGAAAACCAACCATCCCAAACATCTATACAAAATATTCCAAATAAAATTGTAGAACATACAGACGGAAATATTGAAATCCAATTTACTAATAATAGAACTACTATTCCTACTGCAACAATAGATTCTATATCTGTTCCTCAATTTTCTCCCAAAATTGAACCTTCAAGACAATCTGTTACCACATATACCCGTAGTCCACATTTAAGGACTCCTCCATCCACAAGTGGTACTCCTCGGAGACTACAAATTGATGGATTAAGAAGAACACCAGATAATATTATTATTCCACAATATAAACAGGCTCAACAAGAACCTGAAGAATCTGATTTCCTTCAAGTCTTACAACTTGAAGAACAATTTGATAATCAATATATCGAAAATGACTATTTATCTGTTGAAAATACAGATATAAGAG